GGACAAGCGGTTCATGGTGGACAACAAGGCCATCACCAATGACCCGTGGATCCACATTGGTGACTTGTACCCGGAAGGCAAGAAACTGCCGCTCCTTCCCGATAAGCTGGGCCGAGACCAGTTTGAGCAGGGCAGTCACTTTGAGTGCTGCTGCTTGACCGCCTTCGCGACACTTGTGGACCACCACCCCGATGTAATCCGCAACTTGTTTATAACTAAGAAGGTGCGAAAGGACGGCCGCTACACCTTCCAGTTCCACAGGTATGGTCAGTGGATGAAGGTGGAAATTGACGACCGCATCCCGCTGCTGGAGAAGCAGACCCTCTTCTGTCGTTCCCCTACCCGCCATTGGTGGCCCTTGTTGTTGGAGAAGGCGTACGCAAAGTTTTATACCCTGTACCAGAACGTTGAGGGGTGCACACTGCAGGAGTTGTACTACGACTTTACTGGATGCCCCGTGGTGAGCATCCCGACCGATCTGAAACTTGCGAAGTTCGCCACGTATCCAATTGATGAGCCGGAGTTTTGGCTAAATCTTAACGAGGGTCTCAAGGAGTGTGCATATGGAGCTACCGCGCGGTCAGGGCTTGTATCCAATACAGGGATTCAAGAAAATCAGATGTACGGCGTGCTTGGGATTTTTCCCCTTTTTAAGGTGTCGGATCTTACTGTTTTTGATCTTTTTGTGAAACTAAGTAACCCGTTTGTTGAGTCAGTCTACACGGGCCCCATGAATAATGAGGATATCCGTTGGACCCCTGCATTGCGTTCCTCTTTTGCGCCTGAACGGCATGATGTAATCTACATGCCTGTTACAGTGTTCCTTGAGACTTTTTCCAGCATTGAGAAGGTCTTGCTTGGGGGCTTGATGCTGCCGAGCTGGCACTTTAACAGCGAGTGGGGTGAGGGTACGAGTGGAGGCAACCCCACCCTTGTGACGTGGCGTGAGAACCCACTGTATGTGGTGCGGAACACTTCCGAGGAGCCCTTGCAGATTATAGCGACGATTGGGCAGCCGGATCAGCGACACAAGCTTCATCTGATGCCACATCAGGAGTTGGATTACATCCAATGCGGTCTTGTTCTCTCGCAGAGTACGGATACGACGATGATTCCCACTTATCTGGTGACGGCAAATAACCATCGTATGGTGCACAAAGGCCTTTATATGGACCTTCGTGAAGTCGTTAACAGAATTGTGGTGCCGCCGAACTTTTTTGGGTACCTTGTTCCCAGCGCCATGTTTCACGAGCAAGGCAAATTCTTATTGTCCTACTGGTACTCTAAAGCAAGTGATGAAAAAACTTTGAACATTACGCGACTGCACGTCAACGTGGCACGACACTTGCCGGCCATTGCGCACGTCACATTAGAGCCTCAACAAAAGAGGCGTGTTGATTTTGTGGTCGATACCCCGACTGATGCGCATATTTTACTGCGCCAGGAAAAACCATATCGTACCCCCAGCTGCTCAGATGCCATGACAGAAGATTTTGTTGGCATGCACTTGTATGATGGGGACAGCAGGCGCATAGGCGGGGTTGCTTCCGCCACAAACTTTCGTGAAACTGGTATAGTGCATCATCTTCCAAGTGCTGGCCATTATGCGCTTTCCATTACATGTCCGCATGCGAATGGTCTTGTTCCAGTGCGGGTTGAGGTTGTGGCCAACGGGGAGGCCCACGTTCGTACGACTGAGCCACCGATTGATACTGTCGGGTTTCACGACGACGAAATCGAAATGACCGAAGAGGCCTTGAGGACTTCTCTACCGCAGACGTCACTGGATGTCAATTCAAGAGGGATCTCGTCACGTGGAGCATCAGTCTCCGCACGAACGTCAGGTCTTCCTGTAGAGGTTGGCATTAGCCACCAAGACCTTTCCTTTCTTGACCCAGTACAGGAGGGCATTCCCATTCAGGACATAGATCTTATGGGCGATGATGCGTTTGCTGCAATGACGCGTGAACGCATGAAACTAAAGAGGGACCCTCTTGCGAATGCGAACAAGATCACTGCCCTCGAAGCGGAGATGAATCAGGTTGCTCGTGAAATGGCTAAAAGGATGCATGCCAAGGAGCGTACCTTTCTTGATCCAGAGCCCGAGGGCGTCCCGCTTGGGTTGCTCTCATTAAACAACAACGAGGCGTTTTTAGGACTGGAGCGTGAGCTTCGTGCCTTAAACCTCAAACCGCGGAAGGATGCCAATGCAATTGCTGCTCTTGAAGACGAGTTGTTTGACCGAACACACGTGCTTGCAAGTGAGCTCAAGAAGAAGGAACGAGACATGTTTCTCGATCCACAACCGGAGGGCGTGTCAGTGTCTGAGCTGCCGCTGGATTCGGATGAGTTATTCCACGCGATGGAGGTGGAACGCCTGTGTCTTCGCAATGAGGATCCGAGCGCCAATGCGGCAAAAATTAAGGAGCTTGAGGATGCGTTGAATGAGCGTGCCCACGAGTTAGCTCATTTGCAGTTTCATAAAGAAAGAGCCTTTCTGAATCCCGAGCCCTTTGGGTTTCCGTTGGAAGAGCTTGGTTTAGAATACGATGACGCCGTTGTGCGGGGCGAAGCGAAGCTGCGCGAGTTGAGAAAGGACCCGAAGAATAACGCAGCGGAGATAAGGGCCATGGAGGAGGAAGTTTCCAACCTGGTGGAGGACATTGCTCGCAAACGGTCATCACTTGATCGTGCGTTTCTTGACCCCGAGCCGGAGGGACGTCTTGTGGAACATTTGCCGCTGAATGATGACAAGTCGTTTGTGGCGATGGCAACAAAAAGGCACAAGATGCTGCGTAGAGGCGAGGACCCGGATAAGGTGAAAGCGCTTGAGAAGGCAATGAATGATGGCGCACATGAAATTGCCCGCGCATTGAATGCAAAAGAACGTCCTGCCTATTTAAAAGAGGCCCCGTGCGGAGTCCCTCTCGAGGACTTACCACTGGAGTCGGATCAGGAGTTTCGTGAGTTTGAGGCGAAGCGCCAACGGCTGCTGCGTGACCCGAGGCACACTTCGGCAGTCGAGGAAGTCGAAGCAGCGTTAAACGCTCGTGCGGAGGAGCTTGCAAAGAGGCAGTTGGCAAGCGATCGCGGGTACATGGATCCAGCTCCGGGTGGTGTTCCGCTGTCGCTTCTTCACCTCGACGACGACGCTCCATTTCAAGCGCTCGAGGCGAAGCGTGCCCAACTTGGGAAGAACCCACAGCGGAACGCAAAGGTTATTCGTGAGGTGGAGGAGGATCTCCTGGACCGTGCCGCGGAACTGGCTGAAGATCTAAAAACATCTGAGCGGAAGAAATTTTTGAACTCGAGGCCTAACGGTGTGCCCATTGAGGATGTCCCGATCAGCAGCGATGATATATTTCATAACTTGGAGATTAAGAGGCTTCTGCTGCTTGGGGACACTGTCAAGAATGCGACTGCCATCAGCAGCCTGGAGGACGCCATGAATGAAAGGGCCTTGGAATTGGCTGCGAAGTTGTTGGTGGATGAACGTGCCTTCCTGGATCCTGAGCCTCTAGGCATTCCTATTGAGGAGCTTCCACTTGACAGCAACAAGGAGTTTATGGTGAAGGAGGCGGCTTTGCGTAAGCTTAGTCGAGAGGTGCCATTGGACAATGAGGCTATTGATTTACTGAGGGATGAAATGCTTCAACTGGAGTACTCGATAGCTAACAGCGAACTTATGGCATTCCGTGCCACCTTCTTGGATGCTGAACCAGCGGGTCGTGCTATTGAGGATCTTTTATTGAATGATGATCCAGAGTACATGACTTTGGAGAAGAAGCTCCGTGCGCTAATAGGTTCTTCTACCGCTGAACCGGGCTTGGTTGAATCCTTGAAGGCTGCACTGAATGAGCGAGCCTATAAAGTGGCATTGGCGCTGAATGCCTCTGAGCGAAAAGATTATTTGGACTCCTCCCCGTTGGGGGTTCCTCTGGAAAAGTTGTCGCTGGATACGGACACAAGATTTGGTGAACTTGAAGCCGATAGAGCCCGCTTGCGACGATTCCCAAATGAAAACCTAGAGAAAATATCGAGTGTTGAAGCAGCATTGAACAGTCGTGCAAGGGAGCTTGCAAGCGAGGCACTTCACGGCGCTCGTGGCTACCTTGACGCTTTTCCTGAGGGCGTACCTTTGGAGCTGCTGCCCCTTGACACTGATGCACGATTTTGTGAGCTAGAGCAGGAGCGCGCACTCATTTTGTCCGCAGAGGTGTTTGCTCCGTCGGAGCTGTCCAACATTGAAAAGGCTCTTAACGACCATGTACATGAGTTAGCTACAGAATTCAAAAAGGTTGCCCGCACACATTACGTCAAGGAGTCCGAGCTCCCCATACCGGCAGAGAGACTCTACCTGGACGCCGATATTCCATTCAAAGAATTGGAGGCTAAAAGGTTTCAGCTGCTCACGAAGGATCCACAAACCGTTGCTCACCTTATTACAGCAGTCGAAGAGGCCCTAGCCAAGCGCGCACAAGAGCTAGCAAACACAAGAAAAGAGGAGCTAATAAAATTCCTTGACGAACATCCACTCGGTATACCAATCTCCACTCTTCCACTATGTAAAAACGTATCATTTATGGAAAAACTGGAGGATCTTCACCAACTTCGAAAGCAAAAAGGAAAGGCTGATGAAATTGCTACAGCAGAACATGAACTTAATGAAATGGTATATGAGATGGCCGCAAAAGCACTAGAGGAGAGGTACCCCTATCTTGACCGAACACCAGAAAACATTCATATAAGGTACCTCCAGCTACTAGAAGACCAACAGTTCGTTGCGATGGAGCAGGAGCGCGAGCGCCTTCTGGAGGACCCGCGCCGGAATGCGAAGGAAATCGCTGCACTGGAGGAAGACATGAACGTCCGTGCACACGAGCTCGCACGCGACAGGAAGCTGGCGGACCGGGCGTTTTTCAATCCGGCGCCGGAGGGTGTGCCCCTGCGCGAGCTTGCGCTGGACGACGACAAGGACTTCGTTGCGATGGAGCAGGAGCGCAAGCGGCTGCTGGAGGACCCGCGCCGGAATGCGAAGGAAATCGCTGCACTGGAGGAAGACATG